TGGCGACCCGTGGCGTGGATCCAACGGCGACGCGCGCGCACAGTTGTGCAGAATATTGTTGAGGTCTTAAAAACAATGGTGAGTAGTTTTAATTTCCATGGTCTTCAGAGTCGCCTTCTAACCAAGCTGGATATGAAAGTGGAAGGTAACCTGAATTGTGCAATCTCCTCTCGGAAATGAACCCCTAACCTTACTACCGGTCTTACGGGTTTAATCTTGGCTATCACATGATCTCCAGGAAAGGCCACCGTGCTACCAAATCGGGTAGCCAAAATTTCTCTTCTGTGTCGATGGCAATCCCGAAGGAAGAGCCACAGGATGTTATCCTCCCTCCACCGTCCACCAAAACTACTGCAACAAAAAAACCTGACGAAAAGGGACGAAAAGATGCGCTGAAGGCTATAACCGCTCACCGCCGCGTGTCCGCCTGGCAGATCCATCGCTGGCCGCTGGAAAAGCGCATTCTCTCTGAGCGCGTACGAGTTCATCTTCCGCGCACATATCTTGCGCAAGAGGGAGAGGATGTCAGGGTTCTGCGAGCAGGGCAAGACTTGAACCAGTTTGTATTTCGCCATTATTCTGAGGAAGTGACGGAGGAGCAGAAGAAGGAGAGGACGAACTTCGTGACACCAGACGGCATTGTTGCCCGGAGGTACGTTGCAGCTGCTCTGATGGTATGTTTGGATGACTCGGCTCTGGCTCTTGCTTGGGCTTCGTGCGATGCGAGCTTGTATGGCTTGGTTGTTTGCGCAGGCACGAATACCTTGGGCCGGACCCACGCGTGGCCGGATATCGTGTTGATAATGACGGTGACATATATATCAAATGGTGGGACGGATTCTTGCAGGACCAGTGGATTGGAAAGCAAAAGTGGAAGTTTGGCGTGAAACTGAATGTAGACGGGAAATGGATTGAAATGGACGACTGATGTCATAAGGATACTGCATGCGATGTCTTGGATACCAATATGAGGGCAGCCCCCTGGTGTACACATGCTCTATGCCTCTCATTCCAAATGTCTTGATTTTGAGATGCACAGAACTGGCGCAAGCCGGCTGTGACTAATAGCTGATGAGCCCTCAAAAAATCCACGTTTATCTCGTTTTACAGAGAGTTGCACATAGCAATAGTCGATCGAGCCCGTCAAACAGAGCCCGCGCGAACAAGGCACGCATATGATGGTTGAACGTTAAAGTCTTCGTCGCAATGCCGTATGGCCCGTCCTTCATCGTGGTGCTCCCAATTGCACCCTTCCTCGCCGTAATATCTACCTCGGCGATATCTCTCCGTATCGCCGCGATCAAAGGAGCCATCCGCTGTCTTGATTTGGACAGACGTTTACTCCCTTCTCTGGCAAGAAACAAGAAACATTAGACAACCACGAGCTTCATTGCAGAATACATGCCTTTGCACGGAATCGGGACATATGTCTTTCCGTTTGAGCGCGTTCGGAATGGTATAGCAAAAGATTCAGGAACGAGCCTGTCCATAGATTTCAGCTCTTCATATGGCAAACAGCATGACTGGAGACGTACCAACGATGGAAAACCCCACAGGCACAGGGCCAATGGGATCGCGTTCCTGTCGTTATCCCTTGGACGACGACCAAATAGATCAAACCCAGTGCATAACGGGTGTACATGCAGACTCACAAGCAGCAATATCGCCACCGCATTCATTCGTGGGCTCAGTACCATCTGAAATTCGGTGACTCGCTCAAGACGGGAATAAGCAGGCCGGTGAAGGATAGATGGATATTTCGTGTTGAAGTGCACGTATATGCGAAACTTTTCTCGCTTTCAAGGCTCGGTTTGGATTCTACATACAGGCTTGAACTGAGGTGCGTGGAAAAGAAGTAGTAGTAGGTCAATCTGGTCAGTGTACGTTTCAACCCGACTCGGGCCCGGGCAGGTTCAATGAAAGCTGTCGACTCGCATGCCACGTGGCACTTGACTAGCACTCTGGGCATTGTTGATAACAAGCTAATACTCATGGCTCTGCCACTTTGGGAAAGCATCTTTTGTAAACTTCTGCATAAAGTAGTTGATGAAATCTTATATGTATAGCCTTCTAAGGTAATAATATTCAGGGTCTGTAGTATTGAATTCAGGTCAATTTTATTACATCTTTTAAAACCACTTCATTGCAAGTTATCTGTCACAGAATTTCATGGCGTCTATCTTATCTACAGCGTTTAGATGATCTATATCTT